AGTTCGTTCTGCATTCCTTTTTCTATAGTTCTGAACCAGTTCCAAATTCGTCCTATTTAGGAATAGATTTCTAATGGAAAAAGTTAAATTAAACAGTATTTAAAAGTACCACATTTCGCTGCTTTTAAACTGGTGGGGATCTAGTTACTATAGGACTGGTTCGTTTTTGGCGATAACTATCTAGTACGGAACTAGAAAATTTATTCTCTAGTCCGCGGTTTCCTGCAGGGTATTAACAGTAGGGTGATCCAAAAACAGTAAAGTCGGAATTGTAATGCTCTCACCCCCTGGATTGTTCTACATTGAAAAAAAGTATACCTCTATTTTTTTTAAATCTAAAAATATTTAGAGGTCGCTCAAAGCGCTCAAAGTTTTTCATGTATATTTCTATGGCAGAAAAACAATATTTCATAGAAAAGGTATAGAATTCTTGAAAATCTATATTTTTCGATCGGAAAACCCTGGTTCTCTTCAGGAAACTTTCAATAATAATTACCAAATTGTTTATTTAACCATTTTTTAATACTAACGATTTTTTATTGTTCCCCATATGGCATTTTTCGGGGATTTTGTGGGTTTTTGGCAGACATATAAATTATAGTTGCGAGGAAAAAATGGTTAGCTAAACAATTGGGTATTATTAATGGGAATCTCCTGCAGATAAACAGAGTTTCCGATGGAAAAATTTTGAATTTTGGGAATTCTATACCATTTCTACGAAAAGTTGTTTTTTACCCATATAAAATACATGGAAAAAAATTGGGGTCTATTTCTTCGGTATAGAACAATCCAATGGGGAGAATAAAAATTCCGACTTTACGTTTTCACATGCATTTTTGGACCACCGTAATGTACAGCCAGTGTCAAATGTTCTAACATAATATTAACAATCATTTTAATGAAACACTTTTTTTCATTAATTTATGAAAATATAGTTCATTCTATAATATGAACCATATATATCAAAATTTGTATTCAGAATTTCTAAAAAATTTTTTTATGCAGTTTTGTAGCCCGTTCAATTTTAGTAAAACAAAGTGCGAGTTTCAAGTTGCCAAAACTTACCGTTGATATTTTAGAATTTCCACCTTCAAATGACCTCAAACCTGACGGGATGGAGACTAACAGGCCTCGGATTCGTGTTCAGGGCGTCGAATGACATAGGGATATAGAGGTTTGGTTCAATATGTAGAAACTTTTTTTTGTAAACCTGTGGAATTAATGTAAAAAATTTTTTATCGAAATAATTGTGAATATTATACAGGGTGGGCCCAATAAGACCCATTATGATATTCCTAGAGATTAACTATAATATGCGGAAAGAAAATAATACTAAAAAATAAATAGGTCTTATTTAGCCCACCCTGTATTAGAACAAGGTGTACACTAATATTTGACACTGCCTGTATATGCACAAATTCAAACAAACGTAGAGAAAAATTAATTCTTTACACAAATTGGCAATATTGCAATTTTGGTTAACTTTTAATATTATAAAAAAATATATATATATTTTTGGTGGACGGCAAAAAATTGTGAATTTTATTTTATTTTGGGCCTTTTTACTTTACTTACTTCGTAACTATAACATGCAGAAAGAAAATAATATTAAAAAATAAATAGGTCTTATTTAGCTCACCCTGTATTAGAACAAGGTGTACACTAATATTTGACACTGCCTGTATATGCACAAATTCAAACAAATACGTAGAGAAAAATTAATTCTTTACACAAATTGGCAATATTGCAATTTTGGTTAACTTTTAATATTATAAAAATATATATATATATTTTTGGTGGATGGCAAAAAATTGTGAATTTTATTTTATTTTGGGCCTTTTTACTTGGATATTGTGGTACACAACATTTTTATGAAGTGGCAACCGTGATTGTTACGGTAATTTTCCAGTTTACGGACACTTGGGAGGTAATTATCAAATTATCTCGTAAAAAGGGGTATCAAATAGAGGCATTTTAAAACCCCAGTATTACGAATCCGGGAACGGAAAATAACTTTTTTAAATAAATATCTCAAAAGTTATCTGTAGAAAATACATCCGAACATTATTCTTATTACGATCTTAACTCCTGGCGGCACCTTTAAATCATAAAAACTAACAACATTTCTTAAAAACTATTTTGAGTACCAATAATTAAAATAATTATGATTTAAGTTTTCAAAATTGTGGCACGCCATATGCAATATTTTTGCGTGCACAACTCCTTTTCGAGTAGGCGACCTTCGGTCGCGCTTCAAAGTACCAGCTCTAGCCGTACCAATACGTTTGTTCCACACGAGCCCGCGGGTAACCACGGGTGCCCAAAGCAGCCCAGAAAGCGTTCCTCACGCTAGAAAAATGGGTAATAGAGAGCGAATACGTTCCACTTTTGGATCGTAAATATCTTCTTCTTTGTGCACGAAACAGCCCGGACTTTTTTTCCGGGCACAAATGTGCAAAAGGGCAATTTGAAATAACTGCTGTTGTTGTTTAAATCCGAAAGCAAATTTTATAAAAACAAAAGTGGAAAATATCACAGAATTTTCAGAAAATGTAGTTATTTGGTAATTTTATTAGCCATATAAGATAAATACACGTAAATCATTGTTTAGAGCTGATATGTTGATTCCGGGCACGAAATGTGGTTTTTTGCATTCCTCACGCTCTGGGCACTTTTGGCACGTGTTGGCACATTTTTGACACTTGTGAGAGAGTAACTTATTTTTACTCTCTAATTACCGGAGCAGCCCGGAAAGCGTGGGGAACGAAGCTAATAGCTCGGCTACGCTATTACCCACAGTGCTATGTGCGCGCCGAATTTATGTTTAGTGGTTCTTTGTAACACATTGAATAAGCTTGTTTGTTCAGTTTTGTTAAAAAATATATATATATGTATGTACTAGGAATGTTAATCCCGGGATCCCGGACTTTTTAAGGTCCCGAAAATCGCGGGATTTTTGGTAAGTTACCCCGGGATTTTCGGGATTTGTAATTTGCACTGATGGCGATAATAGAAACTTCTTTTCTTGACCAGTATTGGCTATATTTCTTTTTTTATTTAATAATTAATATTTTATTATAAATGTCTAACTCATCGTACATATAACACCGCGCGATAGTAAATTTTAAAATTGCGTTTTTAGTTTTTTACTCTGACTTCAGTAATTCAAAAATGATTTTGAAAATTCAGAGAGTGCTTAGAGAAGAAGTATGGGTATAAAATTAATGAGGAAACCCTGTAGAATTTAAACATATTCAAGTTTCTAGTGCAGGAGGGCTGGTAAATATTGAAAATGTTCTAACTTTGTCAGCTTAAAAATCACCTATTCGTCCTGGTGAATCCAAAAAATTTAAATTATTTCAAACTAAAGAAATTTCCTATTGCATTTGTTACCCATATTTGTATTCTACATTGCATTGAATTTTTTAATAATCTTTGGAATTAATCATATTTTTGAAACTACAAAGTCCTTCAAAATAAATCCTGCGGTCAGAGAGAAAAAATAAAAACGACACTTCAAATAAAAAAGTAGGTTTCAAACCATGGTACAATAATTACAGGTATTGTCTTCCTAGAGAGTTTTGTGAAGCAATTTTTTGGCGTTTTTATTTTTTCTCTCTGACCGCAGGATTTATTTTGAAGGACTTTGTAGTTTTAAAGATATGATTAATTCCAAAAATTATTAAAAAATTCAATGCAACGTAGAATGTTCCCTTGTTTTCATTTTAGGGGTATTCGCGTATTCTTCCAGCAGAAAACTCTCAACAGCAAAATTCTTATGAATTTTTTATCTGTTCTCTCTCAAAGAGAGAAATGTTAGCAAAAGTACACGAACGCAAAACAAGCAAAAACTTGCAAGTTTTTAGTACAGCTGATCGAAATTTTGTTTACATACAAAAGCATAAAACAGAAAACATGAAAAGAATATAAATTAAAAGTTTTCCTAAAGCAATTTGCTAAGCAAACATGATTAAATGAGTATTTGCTTTCTTCCGATACATTTGCAGTTCTAATAATTTATTTCAAACTTGAAAATCATAATAATAAATCTAAAATGAATTTCCATATTTTCATAAATTGAAAACAGTTGACTTTGATCAGCTGTTTACTTTGCTGGATTTTTGTGTACGCGAACAGGAAAATCTGATGGTTATCAAAAACTATCAATACGCGAATAAACCTTTTGACGCAGTACAATGTTGATTATTTACTTTTATTTGGCTTTGCTTTTTATTTTCGCTCAATTAAATTTTTATAATTTTTCAAAACAAAAGAAAAAACTTTTGAAATGAAGTGAGCCATACAAATTTTGAATTCATTTAAAAGCAAAAATTTTTTTCCGGCTTTTGCAAATTGAATAAGTTCTCTGTAAGATGGTTTGTTAAAAAAAAAATACGCGGGGCATGGAAAAAGGGATATTTCCAGCAGTAAACGTTTTAGTGTGGGCAACAATGATATTTTTTAATACAATACCTGTAATTATTGTACCATGGCTTCAAACCCATTTATTTATTATTTATTTCATGGTAGGAGAGCTTCTAAAACAATATAGAAGCAATTTTTTCGATTTAAGTTGTTGAAAAGTAATAAATATCTAAATTCCGGGACTAATCCCGGGATCCCGGGATTGTAACAACGCCATCCCGGAAATCCCGCGATCGGAAAAAGTTGAAAAATTAACATACCTAGCATGTACGTATGATACTGAATTATTTAAATTGATACAAATTATTACTAATAAAATAAAATAAATAATTATTTGATATTTCCGGATTTATTGGATATTGGAAAATAAATATATGTACTTATTTAAGTTTTAATTTTGCGAGTGCATAACTTGGCGGGTGCGCAATGCTCGCTCTCCCGCGCCAACCGCACCTCCCCCTGCGGCTCCCTGCACTATGATGGGCATAATGTGCTATATATAAATATGTATACATATAAATATATATTTAGTATGTATAAGTATATCAAGTTTCCCACATTTAATTATTTTTCAGCTTTAGAGATCAGCAGCGAAGAGCACAATGAAAAAATCTCGAACTTGATTGAAAGGAACAAGGAACGGTTTTGTGGATTGGTCCACGATCCAAACGAAAATGCGGGCATCAATGAGAAATGTAAGTATGTATTTAAATATATATTTATGAATACATATATCGTCGTTTAAAGTACAAAATCGCGTATAGTGATTCTGCAAAACCGCGTAACTGACACTGGCTGCCAACAATTGGATTTGCTCACACAAGCTCTTGGCTCAATCCTGATCCATTCGTCCTGAAATATACTAGGCAGATATGCGATTGCTTTATAAAAAAGAGAACCGTTTTGAAATATGAGTGTTTCTACACTCCAGAAAATACTTTCTACAACTTCTCATACGCGGTTTTGCATTTTGCTGATACGCGGTTTTGCATTTTGTTGATACACGGTTTTCCACTTTAAACGACGATATGAATACGCTTGGTTCGAAAGCGTATTTCGAGAAGGGAGAAAGCTATAAAAGATTACTATCTTTACCTATAATTCGACTCTATTGTAAAACTTTGGCCCTTATTATGTGCTGCATTCATATTATGAGCTATGTAACCTTGTCGAAATTTTAGTTGAGTATCGAGTTTTCGGTCGAACAGAATCTTGCTTTCTATACTGTATGTAGCGAAGTATTAGGAAATTGTGAAAAAAGTATGATTTTGCATTTGTTTTCTTACTTTTTGTTGGCTAGACACTAATTTTAAACAATGTTAATTAATTTCAGAAGAAAATCCCAATACTCAGTTGGCACGATCTCTGAGAACAAAATCGAAAATCTGTTGATAGTTTTAAAATACTTTTATTAAGATTTGGCTCGCAAGCATCGCTGCAACAGGTTTTGTGTGGCGGACGGCAGGTCTACAAACGCCTCTTTAGACAATCTGTAGACGAATTTCCTAAATAATATTGTATGTCAAAATATATTCGAAAGACTACACTTAAACGTTTTCTACTCCTGGCCAATTTACTAAGCTCTCATCCTCTGACGAATCGTCGCACCAGAACTCTGTTGTACTCATTTTTACCAAGATTTTATAAATTCGCTTTCTTTTTTACTTCATTTTAATTTGCACAAATTATATATGTATAAGCACACTATTTTGTTTGCTCGATTTCTAAACAAAGCTTCTCAGCGGTGAAAAATATACTATTGTGAACAACCAAAGCGAACTAAATTCACAATAGCGCTATTCTTCATCGAATGAGTGTCATAATACCAAATGAAAATTCGTTCGATCAGCAATTTCGATCACAGTTGAAGATCGAATGCAACTCATAATAAAAGCTATAGTCTATTATAGACAGGCTATTAATTGAGAATCAATCAATATCTCCGTCACTCTCTCACTTCCTGAATTCCATCATCAGTGACCAACGCCACCTATCGCAGACGAAGAGCTCGAGTTGCTTTTCTGCATTCTGGATATTGTAGAAGGTGAGACTGTTCGGTCCAATTTGAATAAGTTGCCCTGACGACACTAACCACCTCTTCACATATCTACTCTCATCAGCTCATCTAACATCCCTCACCGCATGGCACCATTCAACGTTTGCTTTCCTTACCAGGTGTAGAGGAGAGGCGCACGCACGTTTCGACAACGACGGTGCGAGTCGCCTGGTGGACCCTTTGTTCTGATGCAGTGCGTCACTACAGTCTGCGTTGACGATGGGTTTCGTAATGTGACTAAATTCCAGAAGTAAGTTTGTGATTTCGGTGGTAACTCTTTTTTTCGATGTTCGTTGGTGCTTCGAAGCTACAGATACCTGGCCTTGAATCGTTACATCCGTTCACGGATCGAAAACGATACGAAAGAAAATTACGTGATACGTCAGGCAGTATAAGCTGAATGGGACAAAGAGTGGGTTCACGTGTGTCATAATCCGAAAAATGTGTTTTTACGTGACGAGTAGTACGATATCGTATGTGACCATGATTCAATAATACATTCTATTCTATTACTGAATCATGGTATGTGACGATTCGAGCTCGTTTCTGTAACAATTCTCTACCGAGGCGAATTGAGATATGAATTCGCCGCCCTGTTCTCTACTGCTAACAAGTAGTAGAGAATGACGTATATTCTCTACCAGTGGTGAAATAATCGGTAGAGAAAAGTTACAGAAACGAGCTCTGGTCGAGATTGTGATTTATGCCTACCAGTGTCGAATTCGCGATGTCGATGATTAGGTTGGAATGGCGGAGGAAGTTGACACCGATGATGGCGTATTTCGTTTGTGCTATGAAGAAGTTCAATACGAATTTGCGTGGAGGACCAAGGTCGGGCGAACGACGGACTACACCGAAGGTTTTCATGGTGGTACCAACCAAAAATAGTTGAGATCAGGTATTCATCAAACGTGTAAATGCCTCGTAAATGCGTAAACCTCGTAAATAACTCGGTTTTCCATACAAAGTTTAGTAAGTTTATGAGGTTTGCGTGGTTACGAGGCATTTACGCGTTTAGGTGAATACCCCCAGTATAAAAAATGTTTGGATTTTGTAAACTTAGAAAATTTTACCTCGGGTTCGAATTGGGATTGGTTGCTCGATGGTGTTCTGCTGCCGAAACTGTCGAGCGTAGTCGACTACAAGAACAGTGATAGTCACTTGATTGATCATGTGATACTCACTGGTGATGTAAATGTCCATCAAACACTCCCATCACGTTCTTAAGGCCAATGTGCAAAAGAGGATGAAAACAAATGTGTACATGTGATTTTTTATCTTCTTTCAACTTATGGTCTTATTTAGTGGTCTTTTTTTGACCAACGCAAAATTTGCAAATGTGTTAGTAAGATAAATGAGAATGTGTTAGTTTCCATCACCGAATCTGTAGGGTCGTTACAGCAGCGTTCAATTTTTCGTTGTGTCTGTCTTTTTTTGTGGAAAAATCGCATGGACTTCGCCATTTACGAGCCAGAGTTCAATATTAACGGTGGTACCAGCAAATGGGTGATTGTTCTGCGTTGGAACTGCGATGTGGTGTGTGCGAGCGTTTGGCATTAACCTGTGAACATTCCCGTTGTCGGCTGCGGTTTCGGGATATAAACTGGCTCAACATGCTGTTAATGTTTTCGCGAACGGAGTCTTGCTGAATTGGCAAAGAGTCGCACAGTGCTTTCTGAATGGGCAAAAATCAAAAATTTTGTTGTCCTGAATATAGAGGTTCCGGTCCCAATTTTTATATGAAATTAATAATACGCAGCATAACAGCGATTGATGTTGGCGCATTTCAAACTACATAAATATTTTAGTCTGAGGTACATCAGTTTTAGGCTTTACACGGGAAAAATTTACAAAAAATACAACTTATGAGATATTTAATTAAGATGTAAATTTTTCCATTTACAATCGCTTAAAACAACTGCAAAAACATAACTGGTCAAAAAAAATCTAGTTGTATAGTTGAGAATAGCTGTATTTTACATGCAAGTTTATTTCTTTTAATATACAAATGAGGGTTGTTGCGAATATTCGCATTAATTTTAACATTCGCATTCGCAATAATCAATGCGGAGCTTTTGCGAATGCCAATTCCTATCAAAAGAAAATAACAACAAAATATGAAGTTTCATGAACTATATGGAAGTTTAAATCCACACTGTAGTCTCTTATGATCTCGCGAACTAAAGGAACGTAAAGGACTTTTCTTTCCGACCGGTTTACACCTGAAACATATCAAAATTTGATTTCCGTTTTTCAAAGTGTCTTACAAAATCTTTTTGTTTAAAAAAAAAGGTGCCTACTCGATTATTCCTTTTTAAAAACGTTCGTTATTAATTTTACTGTTAGGAGATGCTGGTGCTTTTTTAATATTCGAAAAAAAATATAGCAAATTCAGCCCAAACTAAAGGTCTAACAATCGATTCCTGGTCCCAGCAACATGGACGTTTTTGCAGGCAATGGCAAATTACCGTATGTAATTCTGGCATGATTGAAAGTGCTGCAACATATTTTTTGACAAACATAATATGTGAGCATATTATGCTCTTTCGCTTCAGATTGTCATTGTGCCATGATTTTGTTTCCATTTTTGTAAAGTTCCTTATGAGACTTCCAATTGCTCTAAATTTAACTTTAATTTTTGTTTCAGATTTACAGTTTTGGTGTCTTCAAACTCAAAAAAGTACCAAAAAACGCACCAAGCACCAAACTCCTAAAATTTTCGCGTTCTGAATTAAGAACGAAAAGCACTAAGTTGGCAACAATGGGTCTGACGTTTAATTAGGTAAGAATTACGTAACTATCTGAGACCCCCATCATCCGTGATTCCAATAATTCAAATGCGTATAAAAAACACGGTGCTTTTTTTTTAAATAACAATATTCTGACCCGATTCGTCTGGCAGCCACGACTTTGAAAACTGAATTTTGTTCAAAGTTTTCAGTCCTGAAAAATTTTTTATTTCCCATATCCACCTATTTAGCTCGCTATAAGCGCAAATTTTTCAAACCAGTCGCAGAATAAAGTATTAAAAATTAATTACAAAAACTAAAATCGAAAAACGATGAACTCTGATTACGGTACAAGTTCCCCAAATTCTGAAACAGCCAAAGGAATGAGAATGAAGATTTCTCTTTAAAAAACTTTAGAAAACCCTGACAAATCTGGTTCAACTTGTAAGCGCTGTTTAAACAACGATCTCGCCATTATGCTAGATTCTTCAAATGAAGATGAAAGTCCGACATTTTCAGTCCTGATGCAATCCTCGTTACTTTTTATTAAATATATTGTTCCAACTTTTAAATGAAGGCAATAAATAAAATAAACATTAAGTAAAATTGTTAACTTTTCCATTTTTTTATTTAACTAAATAACTTAATTTACTCACCTAATTGTTTTTTAAAAATACTTGACATCCGCATTCGCACCAGCATCCGCGGATGTTAGCTGTTAGACATCGGCATCCGCATTTGCAACATTCCTAATACAAATAATACTAAAGTTAAAAGGAGTAAATTTAAAGTCACGTTAAATCGTGTTTTTTACTTCATAAATCACAAGTATGGTCTTTTGTTATTTGAAAAATAAAAAAAAACAAATGTGATACTTTCTTGCACTTTGCAAAATAATGCGTTTTTGGCT